TCCTGGGATTCAGCTCTTCCTTCACCTGAGATTCTAGCACGATGCTGGACACTGTTCAGCATTCTCTATGGGCAAAAAAAAACCTCTAGACTCTGAAAGGTGGCGGGGGGGAAATTGATTAACATAAATTTGATCAAAAATGCCTAAAAGCTGAATTCTCCAGATCTCGGATCCCAGCTCACTCTAGCCAAGATGACCTTCTCCTTTTTCCTACTCCTTCTGAAGAAAGGAAAGACAAAGTGATAGTGCAAATGTCTGTACATGTGTGTATGCATGGTTTTGTAAACGAGTGAAAATGTATCCATTTTACAGTGATACAGCTCCAAAGCTCCTTCTTGTGATGTGCCAAAACTATGTTATGTGCAATACTTATTTTACATCTAGACATTTTTTTAAAAAGTGGATTTTATAATAAGAAAATGCAACAAATGGAGAAGGAATACAGTAGAACTAGAATAATGGATGAATATACACCTCATAACAATTAAAGATACACATTATAATATATTACCTAAAAGGAACTCAAGACCAAAAAAAAGACAATTTATGATTTACATGGATGCTATCAGAAAAAAATAATCCTGTAGCTACATTTTCATTAGGATTGAGTTAATTTTAATGGACTAAGTATAAAATAATAACAAAGTACAAGATAAATCATAGAAATTACTATTAATACTACTAGCATTTGAATCTAGTTTTCTACCCTCAATACTTTAAAGTTAATTTAGTAAAAATTAAGTATGTATAGTTTCTTCTCTGAATTAATAAATCAAACAATGGCTTATTCTAATCAAATTAAAAAAACATGAGAAATTTATTGTTTTCATTTTTAAATTTATTTTTAAGAGTTATAGAACTACTTCATTCTCTGAGTAAAATACTGTTTTAAAAATAAAATTTTCTAATTGTTTTACATCTTTAATATTTCTTTATGTTTCCTACACTTTCAATAATTTTCCTCCATTTATTCATCTCCCCATCTAAATATTCAACACATGCTTTTATACATGAGGACCAATGCTTAAGCATCAGAATTATAACAAATGTATATAAAAATTTTCAGTCAACAGTGTTCTTTCACATATACAATGTCACTTAAATATATAAACTAAATCTAAATAATTAACCATGCGTAATCTTAAAATATTATATGAAATTTTAAAATAAGAGCTAAGAGAAACAATGGAAGTTATATAAGACAAAATGGTTTTCATTTGACTGCTGTCGAGTCAGCTAATTATTAAAAAGGTGCATGAAAAGAAGAATTAGAAGATTAGGAAAAATGGAAATGTAGAATGTCTCTATTCTCCATGACACAAGTTATAGCAAAACAATGTTAAATATTGAAATACTCGATTTCATTCTCAGACTGCCTCTACAAAATACCAAAAAGCATGATGATGTACCCATGCATATATAAAAATATATTTATTTATTTATTTGAGGACAGAGGTGATCTTTGGAGGTATCATCTGTAGGCACTCTCAGTAGATAAAGATTGTGCTTTCCAACTAAAGAGAAAAGTACCAATATTACTATTATGCAGTGTATGTTATTCTTTACAATCACCCCCAAAAGTTCATGAACATGCACATATCTGCTCCACCTTGAGATACAAATGCTTTACATATTCTTATTTGAAACACTGGTAAGTTTTTATTTCACTAAATAAATGTTTTCAAAAATATATCTATGAAAACCCAAGAAGAAGATTTCAAGGAATGAAACTTCCATGATCATTTATCCTTAATTTTTTGTAAGTTTTGCTTCTACAGCAACATCCTCATGCCTCTATCTAAATTTACATTTTAGCCAAAAGATTCATCTGAAACCACATCTCAAATCATTTCAGTCACATGCTTAAAACATTTATGGGGCTCCTTATTTCTTGACAATTAGCATCTGAAATTGGCATGGCAGAGAAGAACCTAAGTGAACAGGGTTTGTACTACTTTTCCAATTTCACCTTTTGATCTCCCCTTCATAATCTCCTATCCTGCTTATCTATACATCCATACCTTTGCCATTTTCTTCCCTAACCCACAACACCCTTCTCCATCTATGCCACTTACACATGAAACCTTCCATGTCAGAAATAATGTCTCTCCCTCTTCCCAGTATCAGCCCCCACCCCCTCCTTCCTTCTCTCTCCTCTGTGTGCTCTTTTCTTTTGTTCCTCTAATGGAACTGACTACATCCTACTTTTTGTTAACAACCATTTGTTACAACCCTAATAGCTACAATACTCTTAAAGCAAGACCATTTCTTATTTAGTTTCATTCCTTCACAAAACTTAGTTTCGTGTGACCAGTAAGGTAATTAAGGAAGTTCATAACTGGAATTTATTATTTTTAAGCAACATGATTGAAGGATGGTTCTAATCTTATGCTTGCATTTCTCTGTTCTTTCCTTATGAAATATGACCTCCAAAATGATGCTTAACCACTGCTATTCAAAGTGTCTTTAATAATAGGTCAAGGGGAGCCTGGGTGGTGTAGTCAGGTTAGGTATCACACACTTGGTTTCAGCTCAGCTCCTGATCTCAGAGTCATGGGATCGAGCCCCACATCAGCTCCTGTGCTAGCAGCAGAGTCTGCTTGGGATTCTCTCTCGCCTCTCCTTCTGCCCCTCCCCATGCATGTGTGCAAGTGCAGGCTCTTTCTCTCAAATAAATAAATAAATCTTTAAAAAAATAGGTCAAATATCATAACTATAGTTGTGAGCAAATATGTGAAGGGAAATCATACTTTTTTGGCATAAAATTTTACTCAATCCACTTGTTGAAGATATTTCAAATGTGAGGCAGTCCCATCTGTCCAATGGCTTTCAATCTCCAGTCCTATCAATTCTTAAATTTGTTTACAATGAATATATGTTTAGAGAGCCACAAAAATTACCATTATGGGAATGCAAAAAAATAGTATACTATCGTTATGTTATGCATAATTATTGGCTTTGGGATATAAACTAAAAGATTATTAGGTATAATGGCTTGTATCTTCAATTTGTCTTTCTATTATTTGGGTCCAGAGAAAATTGGGACACTTCAATTCACAGTGCATGAATTAGGCAACTATTGCTGAGGTTTTCAAAGGTACCAAGTATCAGCATGATGACAACTGGATAACTATTCTTAAAAATTAACTCAAAGAAAATGTGCAATGCTGTACAAGAACGCATTCTCCTTATTTACCTGGTTGTTTTAATATTGTATAGAGTTCTTAAAGGACCACATCAATGTATCTTGTATTTCATTTGACATCCAATATACAGATTTTTTATATAATAATCCACTAATAAATATGCAATAATCTTCTGTAAAGAATTCTCTCTAGCGAATGTGAAATTCTCAATTAAGAAAATCACAGATTATGTCAACTTGTTCCCTTAAGATCATAAAGCATACCGTTTGGACAGGATTATTTTTACAATATTATAAAAAAAGTAAAACATATGTAATGTTAATTTTGAATGTTATGTATGTGATATTCCTTCTGTGTTTCTTTCTAACACTTTTATTATTATAATGCCTTGTACAAAAATGTCCAAGGTGATATACTGAAAGAAAAGTACGTGACTTTAAAATCATGTATTATAATTTTAAAACTTTAGATTGAGTGAAAATTTGATGAAATTAATTTTGTGTGGTCAAAGATATCTTCCTACAAAATCCACAGTAGTATATATTTTAAATATATCTTGCTAAACAGTCTATTTAAAATAATAGTTTTAATTTATTTGTAAATGTACCTATTTCTATAATTAATTGCTATGTTTCTCAAAATACTGTCCACAAAATACTTGCTTCAAAAAAGTGTGAAGCACTAGTTTTAAATGCAGAGACCCCAAGATTCCACTCCACGGATGGATCAGAATCTCTTGGAGTGAGGAACCTGGAAGTATGCATTTAAAACAAGTTTGCTCAGGTGATTCTGACATACACCAGACTTGAGAAACCTATTGGGTCTATCTGAAACCATGCCTTACTATATTCTCAATGTTATGTTGGAAAAAAAAAGTCGCCAAATGGTTTTTCCCAAAAAATATTGTTTCCAAATGTTCATTCTTACAATTTCTAAAGTGCCACTCAACAGAAAATTAAGTCTGTTTCCAAATCCCAGGATATTTCAGCTCAATTAACAAATGAAAGGGGTTATTTTTCTTCTTATTCCCTGTTGTCCTAAAGCAAAAAAGCCTATGGTACCCACTTCGCACCTCGGGACAGGAACCTCCACTTTCCACAGGTTTCAATATTGAATCACGACAGCATGAACATAGCTCTAAGTGACACTGGGCTCACTAGCCTTCTACTGTCCTGGCAGAGCGGCTCCTTCCGAGAGCCGGCCTGCGGCCCAGGCCCTCCAGTTCTCAGAGCTGCCAGAACTCCGTCAGCACCTCCGACAGCGACTGGCGGAGCGGGGTTCCGGGATTCACTACCCAAGAGCTTGACCTTAGAGAAGCCACTGAGACCGAGGAAACTGACCGGAGACACCCTAGAATACACAGACCACTGCCCCTGGTCCTCTTCAGCTGCCAGCATCTCTTTCCAAAAGACAACAAAGGAAACCGTAAGTACCTCTTACCTAGAATACGAGCCACCCCCACAACTCGCCTCTCTTCCCCGGCTCCCCAGCGCCTGTTGCTAAGGAGGAGAGACGGCACTTGGGAAGCCTCAGGACCAGGTGACAAACCGCTGGAGGAGCTGGGAGCACGAGGGCTGCGGCGAAAGCCGAGCGCTAGGCCGGCCCAGGACCCTTTCCTTCCGCAGGAAGGGTGCGCCCTCCTCACAGCACCGATGCCAACGACGCCCCGACGCCCCCCGCGCCCACCGGGCGGGTGGAGGGAGCCGCAAGAGCTGGGGGCTGGCTCCCGGAGAGCCGCTCCCTCTGCGGGCCGGGGAAGCTCGGCCCCGTCAGAGAAGGCCTCTGGCCCAGTCCTGTGGGCCCAGACAGTGGGGCAGGGGCTCGGGGACAGCCCTGGGGAGGGCCAGCACTCACCATGTTGACTTCGGAAACCATGTCTATGCTGGCGATGTCGATGTTCATCCCCACGCAGACCGGGGGACCTGCGGGAAGAGCACGACACACTGATCAGCCAAGCTCGGGCACGGGGTGCGGGTGGCTCTGAGGATGGGGGTGCCTACCCGAGGAGTGGGAGCAAGGGAAATGCCCTCCACCCCCCTACTCCGCCGCAGCTCGGCTTAAGCACCCTCCTCTTCCCTCCTCCACCCAGGCCGCCAGCGCGGTGGGTAGCGCTTCCCGCAGCGGCCGCGCACACCCCACTTACCCCCGAAGTCGGGTCTTAGGCGAATGTCGTAGCCTTTCAAAAGCTTGTCCACCGTCTCCTTCACAAAGGACATGTTCCCGGGATCGTTCACGCTGGGGGAGGGTACAAGGGGTACAGATAACAGGGTCAGGCGGTGGCTCACCCGCCAGCGCCCGGCGCGCACACCCGCGCGCCCTGCCCGCCGCCCGGCCCGCTTCCCGTCAACCCACCCGCGACCCTACCTCTGGGCGCAGCACACCACCGCCACCAGCACTGGGGCCGAGAAAATGCCGAAAAGCCTTCCTCCCGCAAAGCCCCACATCCCTCCGCCGCGCCCCGGCACGGGGGAGGGGGCGCCCCGCCGCCGTCGCGACCCGCAGCCGGGGCTGCTCCTGCTGCTGCCGCCGCCGCCGCCGCCGCCGCCGCGCTGGCCCCGAGCGGAGGAGGGCGGAGGGGGAGGGGGAGGGGAGGAGGGGGAGGAGCGGGCCCGGGGAGAGGAGGAGCCGCGGGCTGGGTAGCGGAGGGAAGGGGAGGAGGCAAGGCGAGCCGGAGGCGGAGCCGGCTGCGCTGCTCACCCTGACCTCCCCCGCACTCTCCGCGGCCTGTGGCCCCGGCCCTCTGCGCTCCCTCCCGCCCCCGCGGCTGCGGAGCGGGACCTGGAGCCCGGCGGGGGACAGCAAGCTGGAGCCGCGGCTGCGCTGCACGCAGCAGGGCCGGGGTTGGCCGCGAAACCAGCTCCGCCGAGCTCCCTGCGACCGGGCGAAGGAGGGTACCGACGGTGACACGGGCAGAGGCGGTGAGGGAAACGCTATCGGCTTCCCCCCGCCCCTTTCCTGGGCCCGACCCCCTCTACGACCCCAGCCCAGCTGCAACACAGGCCGAAAGCCAGTGGGTGAAGTACAGTGCCTGTGCCCACGGGACTGCGCGCTGCAGCGTCCAGATAGAGGCTGCGGGTCGGGAGGAAGCCCCCACCTCACCTTCGGGGCTCAGAGCCTTGAGTCCCCAGGGTCCAGGAGAGCCAGATGGGCAGCAAGAGAGCCGGGAGCCTGGAGCACATGGCGTTGCTCCTCCGACCTAATCTGGGTGGGATCCGCTCTCCCACACAGCCACTGAGCATTCAAACAGCGACGCGGGGATCCCCGCCCCTGCCCCCACCCACGGGCTTTCCCGCCTGACCCATCATCCAGCCCCTCGCATGGCGGCCTGATTAATTATTTATGTACTGTAAGACCATTTTAAAAAATCGGCTCATTAAACTATTCCTTTCAGTCTCACCTCCGAACATTTCATACGAGCACTAGGCCCTCCCTGCTCACATAAATACACTTATAATGAATGGTAAAGAGAGGCCTGATTATGAGTACCTTATCAGTAAGCTGGAGTCTAAATCAGACCTGGAGACCCTGGACTGTCATTCCAGGGTTGGGAAAATAACTTGGTTTTTCTGGTGCAGCGTGGAGCTGTCCGTGGTTCTTATAAAGCCAGGAAACTCCTTTTCCCTAGGATAGGCTTCAATCCTTTGGTTCTCAGAAAACCAATGATACTTTGGCTAAGAAACAGACCGATGTACAGCACAGACCACCCTGCCCTGTGTGTCACCACAGTGTGCCTAAGGGGTGTCTGTTCACCCATGACCACAGGTTGCATATCTTTCTTTTGTGAATAGTTTTCAATAAAGTTTCCCTGTGCCTCAGACTTCTAATATTGAGAAACATGGTTACACAATTCTACTTGTGGTCAACCATCAAAACCTACAAATCAAGTTCACTTTTGTGCTTGATAGACTTTCTTGGGCCATTCCAGGACTTAATTAATTAGTAGATAACTGCCTTTCTGTATTGACTTACTTTTTTCTATAAAGATTAGGTTTTGGGGGTGCCTGGGTAGCTCAGTTGGTTAAGCATCCAACTCTTGGTTTCTGCTCAGGTCATGGTCTCAGGGGCCTGAGATTGAGCCCCACACGGTGCTACCCACTCCGTGCAAAGTCTGCTTGTCCTTCTCCCTCTGCTCCTCCCACTGCTCTCTCTCTCTCACACAAATAAATAAAATCTTTTAAAAAAAGATTAAGGTTTTCTTTTCTATTGTTGAGACTTTATGTAGGTAAATACCTAAGTCTAGACCTTTATTCTCAAGTTGGCATGTTTCTGTGCATTAATCTTAAATATCATTGTCTTTTTTTTTCAGAGCAAGTCATTTATTAAAGTAAATTAGTGGCAACAAATAACTCTATTTCCTTGAAAATTAAAAAGCTCTTTTATGAAATGTATTTCAGATGATTCTAATCCTTCAGCATTCTGTGGATGCCCTTTATGAAAATTTGATCGCAGAACCTGAAAAGTTGATATTAAGATAGGTTAAGAGATAAATATAGCTCCCTAATTGTTTTCTGGAAAAGTCTGTTCACAATTACTTTGTGTTCTGTGTCCTGTTAATGTGCAATGGAATTATAAGGAAAATGATTTCTATGTTATCATACCTTCCCCTCCACATTCATGGTTCAGTCTATTTCTCCTATTTTTATATACCTCTTTTAGAGAAATGCCCTGCTGGGGATCACAGCTATAGAAAGTAAACAATGAGAATAAAATGAGTAAAGCTGGTAATATAATAAGTATTATCCCCCTTTCTACTATTTTATATGTTCTAAAACTTGCAAAACCACATTACAAATGTAATTATTATCCAACTGTGTACTACTTCAGTCTTAGCTTTAACCAGTGTCTGAAATTCTTTTTTTTAAGATTTTTTTAATTTATTTGACAGGGAGAGAGAGATAGAGCAGGAACACAAACAGGGGGAGTGGGAGAGGGAAAATCAGGCTTCCTCCCAGGACCCTGGGATCATGACCTGAGCTGAAGGCAGATGCTTAATGACTGAGCTACCCAGGCGCCCCAGTGTCTGAGATTCTTGACCTTATTTTTCATCCCAGTTGCTGTTTTAGCATGCAATTCCACAAGAGCTCTGATCAGCTTTGCATGAGAACAAACTCACATCCCTCACTTCATGTCCACATTCCTTGTCTCTCACCTCCCACTTTTAAGTTTCTCAGTTGACAATGAGATCCAAGATGCTACCTTCTCAGTACTTACATATGTGCAATCTGAAGTTGCAGGAGAGCTAGCCATCCATGGGGTGGAATTTTGGTGAATGAGAGGTGGGAGCCAGGTAGATAGATAATTTTCCCTTTATTGCCCCCTAAGAAATGTCCTAAGATGCAGCAGTAGCTCCTATGTGTTCTCTCTTCTTCCATGCCTCAATCCACTTGTCCTTCATTCTTGTTTTCATCGGTATTGCACACTCTAGTAAAACTGTAGCACTTAAATTTTGCCTCAGGATATATTTTCTGGAGAATCCAGATTAAGTCATCAACCAATTGGCAAATTATTAAAAATAACATCTAAAATGCAGTTTTTTTAAATATGAAAGCAAAATCAAAGAGAAACATTGTGGTGAGTATATACAGGTATAATTAATGTACATGAGTGACAAGACTCATCATGGTTGTTGCCCAGCTTGCACTTATATGAGCAACAAAGGCTAGGCATGCAGCCCCTGGACCCACCCTCCGGTATCAGCTCCCTCTCACATAGCCATTTTGGAGGGTTGGATGAACACTGAACTCCAGGTACCTCCATCCTGTGATTCTTCTTGCCAGGATTCCTGAAACCAAGAATAGTTCCATATCTTTACTAGATGGTGCTAATATATTAGCCAAACCAGCAGGAAATTATTGATTCACTTTTCATTTTAACTTATTTTTTACTGAAGGAGAAAAAGGATATGGGGTCCCACAATGGGTAAATTTTCATGTCAGAAGAAAAAAGACAGGAATTCCATTGTTTCATAGGAAGTGGTTTTAAACAGGCTAGAATAATATTTTGGGGTCCTTGAGGAAGGAAGAAAGAAGGGAAGAAGATAAGTGAAGAGCATCACATGATCACTTTACCTGACTGACCCAAATGCCTTTCACCAAACTGTCTCTTGTTCAGTCTTAGTTGTCTTTTATTTGTAGAGAATCAACTTGGTTTTTTAAACAGCATCAAAGCTTCTGACAGTATATTTTAAAGCTCTTTAAAAATAATGCTATCAATTGGAGGTATAACATATGAAGTAAACTGTTAAATCTATAGTTAGCTGAGTCTTGGCAAATGTATAAACCAGTATACATTCTCATCACCCCCTAAATTCCCTCTCAATCCTTAAACCTACATGTCGTTCCCAGGCATTCTAGACAAGCACTAACCTAAGTTCTATCATTACAGATTTTTTTTTTTTTTTTTTTTTTTTGCCTAGCATTTCACATAAGTGGAGCTATGCAGTTTGTTATTTTATATCTGGATTCTTTCTTTTACTACAGTGTTTCTGATATCTATACATGCTATTGCAGATCCATAGTCTGTTTTTCTTGACTCCATTGTATGACTATTTCACAACTTATTTATCCATTCATCTGTTTTTGAACCTTCCTAGTTTGGACTACTGTAAATACAAAGTCATATATAGATCTTTGTATGGATATATGGTTTAATTTCTCTTAGGTAAATACCTAGGGGTATAATGGCTGAGTTGTATGTAAACTAATGTTTAGCTTTATAAGGAACTACCAAAATATTTTCCACAGCAACTGAGGATTTTATATTTCAACTGTAATGCATGAGAACTGAAGCTCTTCCATATCCTCTCCACCCATTCTAGTGGGTGTGTAGGGGTATGTCACTGTGATTTTATTTTGCATTTGCCTAATGACATGTAAGTATATAAACAAGTATAATTTATTTCATAGTAACCACTCATATCTTCATTTTGAATAAATAAGATTTTCCCCATTTTTAAATTGCATTCCTAGTCTTTTTTTTATTAAGATGTAAGAGTTCTTTATATATTCTGAATACAAGTCCTTTGTCAGATATATGTAATGTGAATATTTTCTCCCAACCTATGGCCTTGCTATTAACTTCTTTGATAGTATTTTTCAAAGAAAAGAAGAAATTAATTTGGATGAAGTTCAATTTACAACCCTTCTCCTTTATGGTTCATACTTTTGGTATCCTACCTAAGAAATCTTTGCCCAATCAAAAGTTATGATTTTCTCCGTGCTTTCGTTAAGAAGTTACTATTAATATTTAGATCTGTGATATACTTATAGCTCTTTTTTTATGGATGATATAGGTAAGAGTCAAAGTTTTTTTGTTCCATATGGATGTCTAGTTGTTTCAGCATGATTTGTTAAAAATCTTATTCCTTCCTCCTTTGAGTTCCCCTTACGTTTATGTTGAAAATCAATTGAATTTATATTTTTCTTTTATTGACCTATTTCATTGACCTATATGTGTATCCTTTCACCAATTTCATATTGCTTTTATTAAAGTAGCTGTAAA